CCTTCAAATGCGGCCGACAAATGTGTCTGTCACTAGGCAAAACTTGTAAGGATATCGACCGAATGCTCTTCAACTTCCTTTGGAAAAACCGGACACGTTACATCAGAAAAAGTGTATTGATGAATGACTATGAACACGGTGGTCTCAATGTTTTGGATTTTACTACTCTAAACAATACATTTAAGATTAATTGGGCTAAACATTTTCTTAAAAATCCGGTATCCATTTGGAATTTTATTCCTCACTACATTTTCTCTAAGTTTGGTGGTCTAAGTTTTATCTTAGGTTGTGATTATAATATAGATAAGCTTCCAGAAAAGCTTTCAATGTTTCACAAACAAGTTCTATTAGCTTGGTCCCTTATATATAAACACAACTTTACACCCCATACGTATTCAATTTGGAATAATAGGAACATAATGTATAAAAATAAATCATTATTTTTTTCTAGGTGGGTTGAGAAACGGATTGTTTTAGTGAATCAGCTGTTTAATCCTAATGGGCAGCTTATGTCCTATTCAGAATTCTTAAACACCTTTAAATTTCCAGCCACACCCAAAGAATATGCCACATTATTTGATGCAATACCTACGGGTATTATAATGCTTTTTAAAGGTATTCAACCTTGCATATCATCTGTTTCTCTCCCCAACCCTTTATATTCACACATAGGAAGAATCTGTCTAACAAACCGTAGTAAAAGTAATAAGAATATCCGTGCTTTGTTCCAGACAGAATCTCTAACTATTCCACATGTGGTCTCTTATTGGAATTTCTTTGTCAGTGACATTAACTGGAAAAGAGTATGGACAATTCCTAACAAGTAACTGGTAACGAATAAAGTGAAGGAAGTCTCATTTAAAATACTGCATAAATTTTATCCTGCTAATCATTACATGACGAAGTTCAAAAGGGACATAAATGTGAACTGTGGATTTTGTGGAAGCCATCCTGAGACTGTGCAACACCTCTTCTGGATCTGTTCATACGCTAGAACATTTTGGAAGGACTTCAGTAGATTAATTGCTGGACATCTCTATAAAGACTTTACTGTGAAATGGGAACATGTTGTATTTTGTTTCTTTCGAAGGCAAAAAAAAAGATGTTTACTTTATAATAAACTTGTTAGTTATCTTAGCTAAATGTTATTTTCACAAATGCAAATACAGTAACAAAAAGCCTAATTTTAAACATTACTATAATGATGTTTTATGTTACATAAAATTGATTAGTGGATCACTTAACAAAAAGTCTATGAAAACTATTACTATTTGTAGTAATTACAAATTATTTGAATGTTTGTAATTCTTTGTATTACACCCCCTGGCATATGTTACTTTTGTTCTGATTGTATACATGTTCTGTATACTGTTTCTTAATAAAGTTTAATATTTAAAAAATGAATAAATAAATAAATTTTAAAAAAAAATGTGTCTGTCACTACCCTATCCGTACCGGAAACCCGATCGGTACCCCGCATGTGCGAAAGGTGTCTACTTCCTGTCGAAGCGTTTTACGATAGTTACGGGTCAGAGTATCTGTTAAGATGTTAAAAATAAGTAATAAGTATCTCTTAAAATGTTTCCAATAATGAATCATTTCAATACAATGTAGACAAAAATGAAAAATAAAAAGATAGTTATGGATCAGAACTCCGGAAGTAGACACCTTTCGTGCATAAACAACCAGATTTCATACATAAGGCACATTTTTTAAGAAAATGAAAGGATTTTAAGTGCGCCTTATAATCCGAAAAATACGGTACTGAAAAAGTTCTTGTGCTTAAAGTGCTTCACTGAGCTGAAATTTAAACTTAAAATATCTCAAGATATATAAAATAAAAAGAAAGTCTAAATTAAAAATGCCTCAAAGGCTTCGAACTGAACATCTCAATATCTGAACATCTTACCTTGGGCATGGGCATCTGATAGGTTCCTCCCTTGACTATTTTTGATTGGTTTAGACCATGATATGGGCATAATGTGTGTCTGTTGTTGACCACACAGAGACTTTCAGAGTTTCGGAGACTGTTTTTTTCACTTGTGTGGCTGGTCACATCAGTGCGCCAATCTTTTGGGCAGAACGTTGGCACATAGGTGGAATGTGCAGGTGTCACTATTGTATTTTTGTGTCATTTCCCCTTTCTCCTCATCTGTGCAGAGACGCACGTGACACACAAATAAATTGAACAGCGTGGAGTCGGTGCTGCGGCGCTTCAGCAGCGCGTTCGGCTACTCTAAGCAGCACCTTGTTTAGGTCAAGATAGGTCACATAGAGACTTTCAGAGTGTGACCTAGGATTTTTTTTAGTCGCACCCTTGTTACTCTTAAATGACATTCTGATCTTTTGAGCATGTTTCAATAATCATTGCTTCATTATTCTTTTCATTTTTTAAATTCATTTTAACAAGATGTAAGTAGGCCAGACTTTCCCTGTATCTTTTAAAAGCAAACATCACTATTGTAATTTTAGATTTGCTTTTTAAATCATGTATTGATGCATCACTGGGTTGAGTGAAAAGAGATTTTTAATAAGGATTTACCAAGCAAACATTGATGTCAGTTACCCCATAGTGGGGTTGGTTGTCAGACAGTACGGGGTATTTTGTCCTTACAGTCATCAGTGGGATTTTAGTAAAAAATGTTGATTTAAAAAAAAAAAGTATCAATAAATTTCAAATGAACACCACCAAATGTCGCTTGTATTTAAATTGTGAATTTGAACCAAAGATAGTTTTTGTGAGTTATGAGCAGAGAAAAGACTAAAGTCATTTACAGTGCTTCAATGATGCAGCCTTTATTAAGGCCACAAAAACAACTGAAGACATATTCTGCATCCATAACTGTATTTTGAATGATACTGGCGTATCACTGAAATAAAAATGCCAGATGTTGCCTGTATCTTGTAAAAGACAAGCAGTCTTTTTGTGTTTCCAACAGGTAACCATGACTGTCAGCGTTTTAATAAGTGTGCACTTTTTTTGTAATAAAAAAAGCTACTCCAACCCAGAACAATTACAAAATACTTCCTCTACTAAAAGTTTTGTGTCTTTTTCTCAATCTAACTACTGATAAAGGGACAGCTTGTCTGGTCAAATGTGTAATATCAACAGAGCTCCACAGCGCCCTCTGATGTGTGACTAACAAGCAATCAGACAACCCCATGTTTGCACATGCTGCTGGTTCTCATGATACACAGAACAAAAAGGGTGATTTGCACTTTATGTGGTAACACCTCCTTTTGTCTCCAGCATCTGTGAGACAACAAATAAGTCTACAAATTGTTATTTCAGCAAAGAGTAGGGTGACCAGATGTCTGTGCTAATGTGGGACTGCATAGCATTTTCTTACAGTGTCCCACATTTTACATTGGCACAAAACACTTGGAAGTATATTTGGCTTTTGTGTCGTAAATGGCAATCTAGTTATAGTTTAAACTGTTTGTTGTATTTTTAGTTTTTAGTTTGCTATGAAACTTTCACACTACTTCCCAGCATTGTTGACGTCTCACTTTGTCCCTCAAAAAACACAGACTTTGATGGGATTTGTTCACCCTAGAAAGGAGTGGCAGAGAAATGCCTTTACTCATTTATGTGTGTATTTGTTGATGCTGATTACATTACTGGACAATATTTAAAGCAGGTTATAGCTACTCAGGGCTCCCTGAACCTGCTTTTGCTCATAATTTATGCGTGCAACAATATTCTAATATATTCTATTCTAAGTTACAGCACATTTCCCACAGAAATTAATCCAGACACTCATCAGGAAGGACAGGTAAAAAGAAGAAACATTTGCAAAAGCCATAAATTTCATCATAACACCCTGAAAAATAACTATATTAATAGTGGTCATAATTATGAGAATGAGAGAGGAGGACAGAGTGAGCGAAAAAGAGAGAGCAGGATGATAACAGTAAAGCGAGTGAGCAAAAAGAAGCAGGAAGGAGTGTCAGACTCAACAAAATGAATAAGACAACGTCGCATCTGTTTCGTCCACATTCACTGATGATATTTTTAAAAGTTGTAAGATTATATTTTTGTTATTTTCTAGGTGAATACAACATGTTTGTATGTGACTGTCAGTGCAAAGGACAAGTGAGGCGGATGAAGAGAGAAAGGACAGAGATATTGGCTGCAGATCGCCGTCCGTCCCTGAGCCTGGTTCTGCCGGAGGTTTCTTCCTGTTAACAGGGAGTTTTTCCTTTCCACTATCGCCCAACTGCTCGCTCATAGGGGTCATATGATTGTTGGGTTTTTCTCTGTATATATTATTGTAGGGTCTACCTGACAACATAAAGCACCTTTAGGCGACTGTTGTTGTGATTTGGCGCTATATAAATAAAATTGAATTGAATATTGAAGTTAGATGTAAAAAATAATCATTATTTTTCACAAGATAATTTTCATACATTTCCACTGTCTTTATTGAATAAGGATACTTTAACCACCTGTTGATTTAGTGGACTGCCTCTGTGTGGTTAAGAGACTGAAACGATGTGTTGCATGTTTCTCCTCTTATCTGCTTTGCAACAAATTGTCAAAATGACTTAAATTTTGCCTCAGGTTTGATAAATAAAGGTTCCACCCTGAAATGATTGCATTATATTGAATTCTGTGATTATTCATTCTGAATTCTTCTTAGACACTAGCATAGGTAATCCTTCGACTTAGTGCTTTTGAAGGTAACGTGTGTAAACAACTGAATTGAAGTTTGCAAAGGCGAAAAGGGTTGACTACATGAGCAAACAGCATATTCTAATAATATCATTTACAAGGCTCTGGATGCATGACATTGTGACTGTGGCTTCCTAAAAGTTTGATCTTAAAATCACCCCATACAAAATCTAAGTTCAATCACACACGTTCCTGCATTTTAAGCAAAAGTGAGCATAAACATACAGGATCCAGATCCAGAGGTAAAATCATGATCCATTCACATTTAACGTGAGTGCTTGTGTGTGTGAAGTAAATGTGACTGCAGAGAACAGGTCAGAGAAAATCTGGTATGGCCTATATATGTTTTATTTTTACTTAAATCTTTAGAACATGAATACAAATAACCACTTTTATTCAACTTGACATAAGAAATCTAACAATATAAGTACTCAATCCCTCTCTATGCCAATCATAAACAACAACTATGTTTTTAAAGGATCTTAATCTGGGGGCAAAAAACTATCACATTGACTTCTGAATGCGCATGACTGTTGGTTATATAGTGTATAAGACGGCACGCTTTGAAGTTCAGTTTTCAGTGCAAAAGTCCTACACATAGAATAAGGCAAAAACTTTCTAGAAAGATTAAAAACTATACAAACACTGTTTAAAGAGAAAAGTTTTGCACAGTTTACGCAGACATAGGAAGGCCTACAAGGGTATACAAAACACATTGGTGTTGGTCCCAGTATAGATTAATATTGGCTAGTATATAATAACCCTTTATACTTTACCTCGGTTGTCCTAAAGTGGAGGAAAAGGAGGTCTAAGAACACCCTAGATTAAAGCATTTGATCAAAAGGTTCCTCCACAATCATTCATTCATACAGTTCGATGGCTACAATTATAGTATAGGCAGCACAGGCTATAAATATAATGAAGGATATTTCAGTTATCTGGGTCTCCTCTGCTCCATCCCATTAGGCAGAAATCCTGCAATGATCGGCACTGGCCATATGAGAGCAGCAACACTCCACACAATGATAACCAGAGTCATAAAACAAGCCACAAGTGTCGACTCGATGGGTTTTCTGTTCAGCCTCCAACTTTTGTCCCCCTTCAGCTCGTCGAGGCTGAAATCCACGCAGCAAAAAGTGACTTGATCCCCGGTCTGCTGGCCCCTTGACCTACCCTGACCGAACTTCCGGTACCGGGACATCCCGCAGCCCACGCACAAGCGCAACTCCTGCTGACCCCCGGTGACTCCGAGGTGCTCGATGACAACGGGCGAGATCACCCTGTTGAAAGACGCGGCGAAAAAAGCCCTGCCGTGGTTGTTGGTGGTGTAGATGATAACATCACACTGGAAGCCGAAGCTGCTGTCCCAGCGGGCCACCAGCGACGTGGGCAGGAGTCTCTGGACGCTCACGTTGCACTGGGACAGACTCTGCATGGAGGAGGCGTCGGGCGAGGCGTCGCTCTCCTCCACAGACCTTTTGGAGAAGCGCACGTCCACCTCCAGGTTCGCCAGGAACCTGTTGGAGGAGTTGATGGGCGGCAGGAGGAGGTCCTCGTCGCTCCAGCCTTGACATCGCGGGAGAAGTGCGGCCACCGCGGTCAGAGCCAGCAGGAGAGTCGGAGAGTTGTTCAGCATGGCACAGGGCGCGTCTCTCCTGCTCGCATGGTGCGGTGACGATCGCCGGAGACGGACGAGATGTGCAAATGTTTAATTCACCAGTCGCGAGTGTTTTTTTGTTTTTTTAACGCAGCACCCAGCGGAAAGATTCAATTCCCTGCTCGGCTGATACAAATGGAAACGTCCAAAGGCTGTCATGCGCGCATCCCCCCTCCCTGCGGATGTTTCTATCCGTCTCGTTCTCCAAATGTGCCCATCTATCGGTACACAGACGTAGCAGGATGGGAAGAGCTGTGCGCTCTCAGCTCCGATCTTCACTTCCTGCCGGTCACTTCAGGTGTGAGCGCTGAGCATCAAAACACAAAGGAGTGGTTTGGGGGGGGGGTCTCTAGTGCTCCAGTGCGCAGGAGCTCAGTGCATTACATATTTTCTAGTCATGACATACACATGCTTCATAAACCTACCACACCAAAAATAAATGAAAGCGTTATACAGAGAACGTCACGTGACCGTATAGAGGCCAGTTAATCAGCTGCCCTCAATTTATTTCTCAATTTATTCCTCTGAGGCACCAGGAGTTAGCAGCATTACCAGAAGTTTAAAAATAATCACGGGTCCCCCAGTGCACCCCTTTAGCCCCACTGAGCTACATGTCAACACATGAGAGAAAATCTCAAAAATTTCTTTATTTATTTGGATTTATTGAAATATTCACCAGGCTTGCTACATTTCCCGCACAGAGACATTTATTAAAATGTTAAAGTGCATTTTTTTTTCAATGATTTGGCATCAAAAACGTGCAATTTCTAAAATCTCAGTTATACCCAACTACAAAAAAGCTTTAAAATGTCTTCTGACAGGGAGCAGTATTATTATGGTGGGGGAGCAGCAAATTCTGCGTATATACAGGTGTCATATTAGAGTCTGTTGATAAGACAATCCATCATTTGGAGCAGACTGAAATATGGATGTTTGGATGAATTTGGTGATTGCCCCACCTTTTTACCATCAGCAGCAAACCAAAAAATCAGCACAAACAGACATTGGTCACTGATTTCAGATGACGATTGTTATCGAGGGCAATTAGAGAAAAGTCTCAGGCCTTGATCCAGGGTGAATGGAAGAATCCTTACTGCCACTGCTTTTCCTCCAGTGATGAGGTCAGGTTAAAATTTCAGTTTGACTGCAAATTCACACTCCCTAGGGGTTTCTACAGCCTGTGCGAGTTGGGGAGACGTCCCCGTGTAGCACATGCGTGTCCATATGTTTATAAAAGTGTTTGAAGTATTTTGTGCCACAGAGAAGCATGATAGGATTTCAGGTGATAAGGGACAACAGCATTACAGCAAGGACGCAGCGACTTTGACTGTTGTTTCATTTGACGAACTGAGCTGAGAGATAAGAAGTTAATCCACCACATGCAGGAAAGATTAACCTCCGGACCTTTATTTATTCAGATCAGATTAGATTCATTGAGTTCAGCCTGAATGATGGTCTCTGAGCAAACAGCAGGGTTTTAGTGCCTTGCTCAAAAACAAGTGCTGCTCTTTCATTTCCACACAAGTAGCTATACCTTGACCGGACACTTTGTTAGGGGGACCTTGCATGGACCCTCTTTTTGCCTTCTAAACTCCCTTAATTCTTCATGGCACATATTCAACAGAGTGCTCAAAACAATCCGAGATTTTGGTCAGTGTTAACATGACAGCGTCACAGGGTTGCTGATTTGCTGGCTGCACATCCATCCAAAAGGTGCTCTACTGGATTGAGAGCTGGAAACTGTGGAGGCCATTTCAGTACAATGATCTGATTGTCATGATTAAGAAGCCAGTTTGACATGATTTGAGCTTTCTGATGTGTTATCCTGCTCCAGCCATCAATTGGTTTAGGTCTTATTTGTCAGATAGAACTTTCTCTGTCAGCCTTCTCGGTTACGAATCGTCTTCTGCTCCTCTGTCATGTGGTGTCCCACAGGGCTCAATTTTAGGGCCACTGCTCTTTTCTCTGTATCTACTGCCTCTGGGTTCTATCCTTAGAAGGCATGGGATCTCATTTCACTGTTATGCCGATGACTGCCAAATTTATTTGACACTAAAACGCAAGGATGCCATCTCCATAAAACCTCTCTTGACATGTCTAGATGACATTAAAGCTTGGTTGGCTCGAAACTTTTTAAATTTTAATAAAAAGAAAACAGAAGTGTTGGTGTTTGGACCCAGTGGTCCCTGTGAGTCCTCCTCTGTTGTTTTAGGATCCCTGGAAGTCTATTTTAAATCTGTTGTTACTGACCTTGGTTTTAAGTTGGACAGTGATTTTAAATTGGACAACCAAATCAGAGCAGTGGTGAAGTCCAGTTTTTATCATTTAAGGCGACTGGCAAGACTAAAATCTTTTCTTTCGAGGCAGCACCTTGAAACAGTGATCCATGCTTTTATTTCTTCCCGCCTGGACTACTGTAACTCACAATATGTGGGGGTCAGTCAGTCATTGCTCTCACGTCTGCAGCTGGTTCAAAATGCGGCTGCACGACTCCTAACAGGAACTCGAAAAAGAGAGCATATAACCCCCGTGCTGGCCTCTCTGCACTGGCTGCCTGTGTCTTTTAGAGTTAATTTTAAAATTCTTATGTTTGTTTTTAAATGCCTACACAGTCTTGCCCTGCCTTACCTCTCTGAGCTTCTTCATCCCCACATACCCTGTCGGTCTCTCAGGTCAGCTGACCAGCTGCTCCTGGAGGTACCGAGATCCAGGAGGAAGCTCAGAGGGGACAGGGCCTTCTCTATTGTGGCTCCAAAATTATGGAATAATTTGCCCATGCATGTTAGAGAGGCCCCTTCACTGTCCACTTTTAAATCACGTCTTAAAACCCACTTTTATTCCTTGGCTTTTAACCTCAGTGAGACTTAGTTTCTTTTTTAATGCAGTAGTTATTTAATTAATGATTTCACTCTTCTTTTATTTGTTTTTTATTTATATCTCATGTAATTTTATTTTACAGTTCCAATGTACAGCACTTTGTGTCAGCTGTGGTTGTTTTAAAGTGCTTTATAAATAAAGTTGATGATGATGATGATGATCAGAAGATGGGTACACAGCATGAACAATACTGGACATGGTCAGCAACAAATTTAAGCATTTAAACTGTGGCCATGTGGTACTAAGAAGCCAAAGTGTGACAAGAAAATTACCCCCCACACCTTTACACCACCCCGAATCATTGATACAAGGCAGGATGGATCTATATTGTGACCCTGCCATCCAAATGTGGAAGCAGAAATGGAGATTCATCAGACCAGATAATAGTTCTCCAGTCTTATATTGTCTAATATTGGGGAGCCTTTGTGACACGAGTAGCAGTGCAGTCTCCTGCTGCTGTCAACTGCTTCAGCGTTTGATGTTTTGTACGTTCAGAGACGCTCTTCTGCACACTTTGGTTTTAATCAGTGGTTATTTGAGTTACTCTTGCCTTCCTATCAGCTCAAATCAGGCCAGCCATTTTCACACTGACCTCTGACAACAAAAAGGCATTTTAACCCATAAAACTGATATTTTCCCTTTTTCAAACAATTCTTTATAAACCCCAGAGAGGTTTGTGTGGGAAACTCCCAGCAGATCAGCAATTTCTGAAATACTCAAGAAACAACCATGCCACATTCAAAGACACTTTAGTCACCTTTCTCCCCCATTCTGATGCTCACTTTGAATTTCAGCAGGTCTCTTTGACGATGCCTTAAAGCCTAATAGCTCTGAGTTGCAGCCACATGATTGGCTGATTTGATAATAATGATGTGTAACTAATACAGAGACTGTATGAATAAATTCTGTCTGAACAATTTCAGCCTTTATCTTCCTTTAATGAAGTACGTGTTAATTCTCTAAAAACTGACAATCTAATAAAATTATATTCAAGTTTTTTACACACATTCAGTGATGAAGCATCCATGAGAAATACTACAGCATCATTGTTGTGTCATGACCCCACTGATGGGGAACTTACCTGGCACACACATCTAAAATCTCAGAGTTTTTGTTGTCTGCAGGAATATGGGGCCAGTTATTTGTACTGCTGTAACGTACAGTTAGACAACCGTATGATAGGGTGTTGCCACATTTTATTTCTGATTAAGTCAGGGAATGAGGGAAGATTATGATCTTGCCTAAATTTGTCCCTCACAGAGAGATGTTTTTGAGCGTCCAACACAATTTTTAGTCGACCCTTCCCACGTTGATACTGTACCTCCTTTCTGAGTTAAAAGGCACTTTTGTGTAAGCATGCTCATTCTGAACATTCTTTTGTCCTTCTGTCAGGACAACCTATTAATGGGTATCTCCTGCTGGATACATAAAGCCTTGCTGCTGCTCAAAGATAGCTGCAAGTTCAAATCCACTCAGGTCTAATGACGGTGCCACACACAAGCTACACAGCTTCTCAGCAAGCACAGAAGGCCACTCATGAAAGAAACTGTCCACATCCGTTCTTTTTTCCTTTTCAGTCATAAAACAGCCGCTGCATGCAAAGTGTCTTCCTGTAGTTACCCAGAGTGAAAATGCTATCTTTGGGTTGTCGTTCATTCTGCACATGGCAGAGCCTATTCAAGACAGCATATATAAGAAAAAAAGAATGAATTTAAAAGCTTGTGTGACAGTTTTTGTTATTTAAGTGTGTTACCTTCTCACAGACTCAGACTGCCCATTAAGAGCAACAATCTCTCTCCCCAAGTTGTGAAGAATGTACTTTACTCGGCATTGCTATTTTTAAAATGATGTGTTTGTTTTTCTTTCTCAGTCCGAAGCTTCTACTTATGAAGCTGTAAACCCAATAGTCCATAACCCCTTTACTTGTTTGCTCATCTACTCTCCGCCCTTTGAGCTTTCTTTATGTTGGTGCTTGTTTCCTTCGACCGTATTGTGCACTCAGGGGAAACCAGACACATCAATAAACATGTTCCTCTGCAGCAGCAGGGGTTTTCGTACACACTGTGTATCACCTGGCTGTTCTATCTGATAGGAGACACAATCCCCCGCCCGCCACCCTGCCCTCTTTGTGTTATGGATCCAGCACTTTATCACAAACGGCCAATATGATTACACCTACAGCTGGGGACACGGCTGCAGTTAATCTCAAGGGATTTTTTTTTAGCTCTAATGATAGTTTCAGTATTAGGACTGGTGGTTAAACACCTGATCGCTTTTTGGCAGGTTGCCCTGAGCTGCAAAATCTCACTAACTCCAAAAACTTGATGAGACCACGACGAACCTTTCTCCTTTTACCTTTTGAAAGAGGTTTAAACTAGTGTCTTAACATTTGGCATTTTTGAAGCATTTGTACTTTTATTTATTAGAGATGCATTGCATTTGTTTTTGTTTTTTGTTTTTCATCTACAGCATCATTGTTTAGTCTTTTCCCTTTATTTTTCTATAAATTGCATTTCTAGGCTAGGCTTCAGCTCCCCACAACCATAAATTGCACAGGCAGGTAAGAAAATGGAAAGGTGGTCATTTACTTCGTGCCTTATGGTCACGTGTAAAAATTCAAGAGTTCTGGTCCAGAATATCTGAAAACATTCATGATCATTTAGGGATTCTGTCACACACGATTCATTTTAGGCAGCAACACAAAATCAGAGGGAGAAGACTAACATTTTTTTGA